ACTTCTCCTGGTTAAATAAAGGTTAAATAAAAATAAATAAAAATACAATAATCTAGCTATTGTTTTGATACCATGTCTATGAAACAAAGAAGAGAAGCATGTACTCAAACACCATGCTTTGGTTTTAATTGTCCAATATTCCATTGGCCCATTCCAGAAATAGTGTCTTAGTTATTCTGGATTATCCTTCATTTGTCATTTGGGTAAACCAACCCTCTAACCAAGGCGAAGTGAAGACAATGTCATCATTTATTTGAAAGATATGTTTCCACCAGCTTTCTTCACATCTTCTCTTTGTTGATGCAGCAACGAGGAGGAGGAAAAGACAAGCTGAGAGAAACCGTGAGTCACTCAAGTTGACAAAAAGACGAGGATGAGAAGAGCAGGAAGACTGCACTATGAGCAGGTGGTGCATTAGCTGATTGAAAAGAGTTAAATCAATGAAGTGACTCTAATGATTAAATGATTCATCATAAAGTCTACATGCCACCACACGTATGGCAGTTTGAGAAATACAGTTGATTTTTAGTGAGTTGAGTTGAGTGCTGATTATATAATGTTTAACATGCAGTCAGCAACACACAGCATCTTGTTCTACAACCAGGAACTCTTCTTCCTAGGATTTTCAGGTGCATATTTTTACAGAGCGCTCAGACTGAGCTGAAGCTAAGCTGGCAGCAAACATCAGCGGACCGGCAAGCGGTTTAGAGCAAAGCTGGAAGAAAACAGGAGGTGTGGGAAGAGAAAAGAAGATGGAGGATTTGAGAAGAGGAAAGTATAGCGGGATGAAGAACTGCAGAGGAAAGAGCGCTGCAGGTGAGGGGAAGACAGAGGAAGTGGTGAAAAGAGAGTGGGGGTTTCTCACAGGTCATGTATTGTTAATGAGAAGTTCTTCACCAATCGGATCCTGTTTCACCGCAGACCAGGAGAGAAAGCATCCTTGATGGAGAGACAGATGGACGGATAGATGTGGCAGGAGGAAACCGTTCAATTTGACCCGGAAGTCAGCGGTTTAAGTGTAATTCCACCTTTTACTTAAAGAGAAACTCTGGAAAGCAACGACTTTCTAACAATAGCAGAGGAAATGGAGGTGAGAAGATGGCGAACAGGGAGTCTCAAGACGGTACAGACGCCATACGAAGGATTTCATTACAAAATGCCATGTATCCATTTCAGGAACATAAGATTATCTGCTGTAAACTGTTCAATATTTCAAATGTATTTCAGGTATCAGATCTCATTGCAAAATACCATAGAGAAAGCAATAACTTAACCTTCAGTAATGACATTAGGGCTTTATTTTGGTGCCACCAATCATTCTGTAGGAGCAGGGATTTTCAAAATATCTCATTTTGAAACTAGACTCCTCATAAATTGAGATACCTTCTTTGTAATGCAGACTGGATGGTATTTTTTTTTTTTTTTCGTTTTACAATAACAAACTGTGTCTGGTCTGGTCTGGTTTATGATAGCCAGAAAAAACAAGGTTTGTGTTTTGCTCAATTAAGTGACTGACACTTTTCAATCGCAATCCTCCGATCACTTACACTGTATAATCTCATATTTTAAGGACAATACATTTGGAAAATAGACTATTAAAACTTCCTTTCTTCTTCAAGAAGTCTTCTTAATAGATATATACTATCTGTGTCGTGTGTGGATTCAAATCTTTGCTGTGCCATGAAATGGCTAGGATAACTTCTTTACCTTAATGTCACATTATCACTGGGACTTCAACATTTAAACAGTGGAGATGTTTTTTTCAGGAGCTTGCAGTAAAAACAAGTGAAAAAAGGACCATTCGGCCTTCAGATTACCTTGACAGCCACCAGTATCTTCTCCTGGTCAGGTGAGAGGCTTGTAACACTCAGCCAGGAAGACTTTTCCGAAGGCTCCCTCTCCCAGCTCTCTCTTCAGGACAATGTTGTGTCTCTTAATATGCTGGACAACTGTTGAAAAGAGAAAAGAGGAGAAATCCACTTTAATTGGGGTCATCTTGGCTTTTGAAATACTATAGTATTAGTTCATTATCAAACACAGGAGGAATGATGTAGTAACATTATGTCAAATAAACTTAATTCATATGTGGTTTGTCTGTCTGTATCATTTAACCAAAGCAAAACTACAACACAAGTAGTGATTTAACCTAAATAAAATATGTGTTATTATGTAGATTTATCTTCTTTTTGAACTAAAGCATAGATGCTAGTCTTGGGGGCATATTTTTCCCCTTTGCCAATTTTATTTCTAAGTAAATTGGCAGAGAGAGAAACATGACAGTGTTTAGTAGCAGATATTTTTTCTGTTGCATAAGTAAATTATTTTATCATTTATACATCATATGAATGCTACAGTAAATAACCAAATTCTCTGTTTTGTCGTACACTAATTTGATCCAGTTTCTACTGTAATCTCTTCCTGCCTTCAGCTCACCTACAGTTGGATCATAGTCGACTTAATGCTTTCTGTTGCTAAGTAACTTGTGACTCTATGCCAGCTGATATTTTTAAAAATTTGGCATCTCACCATAGTGATGATACAAGGTTTTATTCTACAGAATGATTAACAGTGTGGTGCCCTTACTATAACCTAGCTAAGCTTCTTCTTTTTGACTGCGGGCCAGATGTGCTACTGTCTGCATGCAAGGAAATGCGTATTATCCTATAATACATGCACTTGGGTACTCCTTGAACACACACACACACACACACACACACAGAGGACCCTGATGAATAACTCATTCAGTTCTGACCTTGGGGACTTTATCGTATGTGAGAGAGACAGGAAAAAGAGAGAAAATGTGTGTGTGCACAAGTAATCACGGTAATCTGCTGCTGTGTTTTTTGTTGTGCGTGTGTTTTTGTGTGTACACGGGGAGGGGTGGTTGGGGTAATCGCTCTCTCTCTCTCTCTCCGTGGAAGCGTGTTCGAGCCTGTTCAACACACTGCGCGGCTAAGCCTGCTAAAACGACACACTGACGCTCAGAGGGCCTCCACGCATACACACTGTCACACACGCTCACCCTCATGCTTATTCAACACACATAGAGTGAAAGATGCACGCACACAGATACAGAGACAAAGACAGCCAAACATGCACAGACACTCTTGATCTGCATCCCTGCTTATACCTCTCCCTCTGCACCCACAAAAAAAAACATAAAATCAACCCGAGTCTTAGAAAAAGTGTGTCTTTTCTCTTTAGAGTGAATAAATATGAGGCGGTCTTCCTCCACAAAGACCATCTCAGTTCTCCCTCTCTCCCTCTCTCCCTCTTTCTCTCTCTCTCTCCCTCCCACATTCATCTCTTCCTCTTTCTTCGTTTGCTTCCTGCAATTCAGTGTGATGGCTCCCTGTGGACTGCTGGGAACTGGTGGTGCTGAGGAGTTGATACATAAAGACGCCTTGTTTAAAGTGGCGCATACAGGCAAGAGCAGGTCTTCTAAAATACAGGTTGGGACCCAGATGTCCCTGTGTGACAAAAGCATTATTTTACTGGGCATGCTGAATTTTAAAGATGTAATATGTAACATTTTCACATTAAACACTAATCTTATATACTTTGTTGAGTCATTTTATTCCAGTAATGGTGCATTTCACCGGTTGCCTGTCAATCGCATCATATCCCCTTTGCACATGCGTTATGGTTGTCTGTCAGAAGCCATAAACTGACTTATGCCACATTTTTACTTTTTAGATCTCTGTCGTTTTTACCTTTATATTTGTACTGGATGAAGGATTTTAGTCATATCCAGGTCTTAAGTTATCAGAGAAACAAGCTGAACTAACGTTAGCAGCAGCTCAGCTAGCAGACCCTCCGGGACGTCCTTTGTCTGTCCA